CCAATTCAAAACCTTTGGCCATTAATATGAAGCTGCCTCTCATGGTGGCTATGACATCCTCTGTATCTGGGAAGTCTTTCCACAAGTTTTGGGCATATGTCTGTGGGAAGTTGTGCTGATTCATTTCTGCTGAGTATTTATGAGGTCAGGTACTGACGTTGAATTAAAAGACTCACAGTCAGCATTCCAAATCATCCCATAGGTGTTCAGTTGGGTTCTGTGAAGGCCACACAAGTTCCTCAACACCAAACTGGTCAAACCATGTCTTTATGAAGCTGGATTTGTGGTCCCATGTTGGAAAAGAAAAGGGTCTTTTTATCGTTTTCCCCATGAGTATAGAAGAACACAATTGTCTAAAATGTCTTTGTATGCTGTAAAGGTATTCAGTAGGGTTGAGGTCAGGGCTCTGTGAAGGCCACACAAGTTCCTCTACACCAAACTAGTCAAACCATTTCTTTATGGAGCTGGATTTGTGGTCCCATGTTTGAAAAGAAAAGGGTCTTCCTAACATTTTCCCCATGAGTTTAGAAGAACACAATTGTCTAAAATGTCTTTGTATGCTGTAAAGGTGTTTAGTAGGGTTGAGGTCAGGGCTCTGTGAAGGCCAAACAGGTTCCTCTACACCAAATTGGTCAAACCATGTCTTTATGGAGCTGGATTTGTGGTCCTATGTCGGAAAAGAAAAGGGTCTTCCTAACATTTTCCCCATGAGTTTAGAAGAACACAATTGTCTAAAATGTCTTTGTATGCTGTAAAGGTGTTCAGCAGGGTTGAGGTCAGGGCTCTGTGGAGGCCACTCAAGTTCCTCCACATAAAATTGGTTAAACCTTGTCTTTATGGAGCTGGATTTGTGGTCTCATGTTGGAAAAGAAAAGGGTCTTCTCAAATCTTTTTCCCACAAATTTGGAAGTGCACAACCATCCAAAATGTCTTTTTATGCTGTACTGTTAACACTTCTTATTAGTAAAAATGTAGATAACATTCTATGAAATAAAGATAGAAAAACTATATTTACTGAGTTATTTCCAGAAAAAGAAAATAAACTTCTCTAAAAAGATTGCTATGATAAGTTTTTCATGAACAAGTTGAAGGTCACTTCTCTTCTCCCTCATCCTTATGACAACCCAACTGTACATTTTGCTGTACTTTTCTAATTATTATCGACATCTTTGAAGTATAAGTATAGCCCAGATTTTTGTTTTTAGTTTCCGTTAAAAAATTAAGGGCTTAAAATCCTTTGACAGTTAATTTTTTACTGTCCAGGTCCCTTTGGAGAAATTTTTCTTTACTTCCTGTACTGGAGATGCAAATGGAAGAGAGAGGAAATCTTTACAAAGTGAGGATAAGTCCCCTCTTAAACACCAGAACAGGAGAATTAATCTAGAATTGAACTGCAACAACGTGATATCCAATTCCAAAAAAAGAAGATTATTTCAATGGCAGACTGTTTATAGGACCAACACATTTCGCGGGCAGTAACTCCACCCCTTTCTCAAGTCTTTAGAAAATGAAGAAATAATTTGGACTCAGTGATCAATATATTGTTGAGTGTTAATAGAGAGTTGTAAGAACTGCATCAACTGGATGTTGGAGTTGTTCACAACTCTTTAAGAACGTCCAACCATATATTAATATTAAGTCCACATACATTGTTTCATTTTCTCAATCCCCGATGAAGGGGTGGAGTCACATCCTTCGAAACGTATCGGCTCTATAAACAGTCTGTCATTAGAATAAACTTGGTTTGACCTTAAAAATCATGGTGTGGCCCTTCAATTCTAGATTCACTCACCTGTTCTGGTGACGAGAGGGGGCATACCATCACTTTGCAAAGATTGTCCTCTTCCCGTTGTCTCTCCAGTACAGGAAGTGAAGGGAAATTTCTCCAACGAGACATGAACAGTAAAAATTAAACTTACAGCAGTTTAAACCTCTTCCCTACTGTACCAAAAATTCTAGTCAAAACTCTATGCACCCAAGGTCTTCGTAAAAACCATTTGTTGCACAGAAGTTACCAACCCAATATTCAAAAGTTATCCAAAACTCTGTCCCCAATTTGGAAACCCTTGGTTGAGCAGAAGTTGCCAACCAATGTTCAAAATTCCTTACTCTATCCAAAATTCCATCCAAAACTCTGTCCATCCAAGGTGGTTGTGGAAACCCTTGGTTGAGCAGAAGTTGCCAACCAATGTTCAAAATCCTTCCTTACTCTATCCAAAATTCCATCCAAAACTCTGTCCACCCAAGGTGGTCGTGGAAACCCTTGGGTGAGCAGAAGTTGCCAACCCAATATTCAAAACCCTTCATTACTCTATCTAAAATTTCATCCAAAACTCTGTCCACCCAAGGTGGTCGTGGAAACCCTTGGTTGAGCAGAAGTTGTTTACCCAGTGTTCAGATGCTTACTTACACCACCACCATAGGATTGGATGATGGCAGCACAGCGGCTAAATGGTTAACACGTGTGCTTGACAGTAAAAGGGTCATTGGTTCGAATCCCAACCACGGCACCACCTGCCTGGAGTTTGCATGTTCTCCCTGTGCCTGTGTGGGTTTCCTCCGGGTACTCTGGTTTCCTCCTACACTCCAAATACATGCCGGTAGGTTAATTGCCTCCTGTCTAAATTGACCCTAGTATGTGTATGTATGAATGTGAGTTAGGGACTTTAGATTGTACGCGCCTTGAGGGTTAGGGACTGATGTGAATGTACAATATATATGTAAAGCACTGCGTAAATTGGCGGCGCTATATAAGTACCTGATATAAATAAATAGAAGTACCTGAAATAAATAACAATATTATAAAATAACATGAAAAGAAACCTCAGGGCTCCAGCGTCATTCATCCACTTTCCCAAGTCACCAGGACAGGTGTCCCCATTGGTCACATCATGGCCATGTCCTACGCGTTTCGTCATAGATGACATCATCAGGGAACTGGCTTCATTGGAAGATGAATTGTCTATGACGAAACGTGTAGGACATGGCCATGATGTGGCCAATGGGGACACCTGCCCTTACCTCTTGTTTTGGGAACAACTATAAAGATTTGGATTTCCCACCACTTTGACAATGGTCACCAAGACTCACCATGAGGGTTAGTTTTCCCAGTGGGGTCTCAGAGCAAGAGTAACTTCAAGCACTGAAGATCCGATAAGAACTCCAAACCAATGATCACAGAGTCCAAGATGGTTTTTAATTATTTCAAATTAGGATAACATAAGGTGGGATGAAACAGACAACGCGTTTCGAGGGCTCAGATACTGCCCCTTCGCCGAGGCTTGGAATAGTTGGACGCAATGAAATTCAAATGATTAGAGTTATGGTATTGCTGGTATTCATTAGGAACTGTGGCTCAGCCCCCGAAACGTGTTGGCTCTATAAAGAATAGTCTGTCATCGGAATAAATCTGATTTGGAATGGAGAATCATGGTGTGGCCCTTCAATTCCAGGTTCACTGACCTGTTCTGGTGACAACTGTCTAAGAGTGGACTTACCATGGCCCAACATAGGTGTCCACTCTTACTGCATCTTCATGGATTCTGCCCCTCTCCGGGGTCTTCTGTTTGATGAGAGCAGCCTAACCAAAGCCAGTGAGCTCTATAAACTGAACTGGTCCTTGACGATACAGGACTCCAAGGCTGACCTCCAGCCTTCCCTTCAATCTTGCCCAATTCTACTGGTTCCTCAATCTCCTGGATTGAAACGGCTTACTCTGATTTCACTGCACACTGTGAGCTTCTCACCATGTGCATTAGAAGCTGCAGCAAGTCAGATAGAGCTCTAGAGCTCCGCCTCATTTCCTGCTGGAGGACGTCCAACATCATCTAGTTCCCCCCCCCCCCCCCCAACCTGGCCTTGGCCCGTTCCTTTCATTAATTGGATTTCAGTTATTTCAATCCTGGATGCTCAGCATCACACATGGGTGTTACCTAAGGCGGTCTGAAGCAGCCTACCTAGGATCACCCTCTTCTCCAGACCGACATCCACCCATCAAGGCATTTTGATATTTCCATAGCCCCTCCCAAGAGCCCTCAGCCCTGATGCAAACAGTGGGCTGGCTCTTGGGAGGAGTTATGCAAATATAAAAATGCCTTGATGGGTGGATGTCGGTCTGGAGTACCGAGGCAGGGTGCTGGGATGTTTTCCGGAAGCTACCCACATGGAAGAAAAGTATATTTGAAATATATTTTTAAAATATTCTACCCAAATATATTAACCTGTATTTGAAATGCTACGATTTTGGGCGTATTCAATATACTTCAAAATATATTTCAATAAATATATACATATATATATACTGTATATATATATAAATATACTGTATGTCTTTTAAAATACAAATCTACATTTTTGGAATGCATTTACAAATATATGTAAAAATATACTTTTTTATATGTTAACAAAAGCTGAAGACTATATTTTGTAAAAAATATTTTTAAAAAGGTTTTTCATATCTTTTGTATATTTTTCAGATGTTTTTTAACATACAAAAAAGTCACTTTAACATATATTTTTACATATATTTGTAAATGCATTCCAAAAATGTAGATTTGTATTTTAAAAGACATACAGTATATTTGAAATGTATTTTTTTAAATATTTTTCATATGATTTGTAATAAAAACACATTTCAACATGCAGTATATATATATATATACATATATATAATTTTTATATATATATATATATATATATATATATATATATTTATTGAAATATGTTTTGAAGTATATTGAATATGGCCATAATTGTAACATTTCAAATATATGTCAATATATTTGGGAAGAATATTTTTAAAATATATTTCAAATTTATTTTTCTTCCATGTGGGTATGTACAGCACCTTGCCAGCCCCTCCCACCAGCCATGATCCGCCGGCACTGCATAGAAAAGAACAGAGACCCAGTGATGACAATACTGGTTTTATCCATCATAATGAAAAAAGAAACTGGTTATACATAGGCTCATGTTTATGTAGTTACTATAGGCATACGTACCTTGAGCAGGTATCTGTCAAGGATTTCCAGGCCACAGCTGGAGCAAATGTTCTTTCCGTCTGAAGGTGCAGAGGAGGAGGAGGAGGAAGATGGCGGGGAGCACACAGACGGGGTGGATGGAGGGCTGGGGGACGAGTGGTCTTCCTTTTCCAGGTTACAGGGAAGGTTTTCATCATCCGACTGGGACTGAAGAAAGAGAAAACACCGGTTAGGAGATCTGCATGGGAACCAGGGAAATTTGCTATCACACTAAACAAGCACGTCAACTGAGAGCTCCAAGTACGAGCAAATCCTAAGTTGACATGATGTCACCAGTCTGCTGCAGGCAGGAGGAAGCACGTCCTCAGTCGCCCGGGCTGAGATGATGTCACGTGCTCATTGGGGTGGTCTTGTATTCTGTATTCTCGAGCTCTCCCTGCCTGTAATCCGTAGAGTGTTCCCCCCACATGACGCCTTGTCCTCCTATGATGAGATGGCTTGAGACTGAGCCAGCAGCTGCATAAAGGGCTCTCAATACAATCCACACTGGTGATCAGGAATGAGCCAAGGACCAAGGAAGATCAAGGACGAGCCTGGGCTTGGTCCATATGGCCATATAAGGTCGATGATGTCAGGAGCAACCCCTCAAGGGCCACTTCTCAACAGCCCTGGCCCCGTGATTGTGGGGGTTATCAGAACCTAAAAGCTTCTTCTCGGGTTAAGCCGAACATGAGTTCAGACCAAACCCAAGCTCATCCCTAATGAGGAACCCAAGGTTTTTCTTCAAAGAATAGGTACAGGAACTTCCCCCTCCTGAGTCACCCCTTGTCTCCGACCCACACCCACCTCTGAGCACCACCCCTTGTCTCCGACCCACACCCACCTCTGAGCACCACCCCTTGTCTCCGACCCACACCCACCTCTGAGCACCACCCCTTGGTTCCGCCTCCTACCCACCCCAGTACCGCTCCTTTTAGACAATACAGAACCAAGTATCATTTTGATACAATAGATCCCCTCCAGCAACAATAGATCCCCCAGCAACAATAGACCCATCAGCAACAATAGACCCCCCTGCAACCAAAGACAACCCAGGAACAATAGATCTCCCTAAAAACAACAGACCACCAGAAACAATAGATTTCCATACAACAAGAAACCCCCCAGCAACAATAGATACCCTCACAACAATAGACCCACCAGCAACAATAGACCCCCCTGCAACCAAAGACCCCCAGCAACAATAGATCTCCCTAAAACAACAGACCCCCCAGCAACAATAGATCTCCCTAAAACAACAGCCCACCAGCAACAATAGATACCCTCACAACAATAGACCCACCAGCAACAATAGATCTCTCTACAGCCAAAGACCCCCAGCAACAATAGATCTCTCTACAGCCAAAGACCCCCAGCAACAATAGATCTCCATACAACAAGAGGCCCCCAGCAACAATAGATCCCCCAACAACAAAAGAGACCTCAGCAACAAGGGATCCCCGCAACAATAGACTCCTCCAGCAACAATAGATCCCTCACAACAATAGAACCCCAGCAACAATAGACCCCCCAGCAACAATAGACCCCACCAGCAACAATCGATCTCCATACAACAAGAAACCCCCCAGCAACAATAGATACCCTCACAACAATAAACCCACCAGCAACAATAGATCTCCCTACAACCAAAGACCCCCCAGAAACAATAGATCTCCATACAACAAGAGACCCCACAACAACAATATATCCCCTCACAACAAGAGACCCCCAGCAACAACTGATCCCCCTGCAACAATGGACTCCCCCAGCAACAATAAATTCTTCACAACAATAGACCCCAAGCAACATAGATTCCCCACAACAATAGACACCCTCTGTAACAATAGATTTCAACAACAATAGATCCCCAACAACAGACCCTCCAGCAACAATAGATCCCCCGCAACAATAGACCCCAAGCAACAACAGACTTCCTCAGCAACAATAGCCAGCATCAATGGACCTCTCCTTAAACATAAGACCCCCCTTCCCCAGACACCCCACATAAAAATAGACCGCCCCCTAGGAACACTACACAGCCCAGAGTCACCCCTTGTCTCCGACCACTACCCACCTCTGAGCACCGTCCCTTGGTTCCACCCCTACTTACCTCCTAGTACTGCTCCTTTTAGACAATACAGAACCAAATATAATTTTAATACAATAGATCCCCTCCAGCAACAATAGATCCCCCATCCAACAATAGACCCCCTCCACAACAATAGACCCACCAGCAACAATAGATCTCCCTACAACAATAGAAACACAGCAACAATAGATCCGCCAGTACAATAGCCCCCATAAACAATAGATCCCCCACAACAATAGACACCCTCTGCCGCAATAGATTCCCCCACAACAATAAAAACCCCAACAACGATAGATCTCCCACAACAATAGATACCCCCACAACAATAGACTACCTCAGCAACAATAGATCCCTCACAATAATAGACCCACCAGTAACAATAGACCCCCTCCACAACAATGGACCCACCAGCAACAATAGATCTTCCTACAACAATAGACCCACAACAACAATAGACCCCCCACTATGATATCCCCCAGCAAAAATAGATCCCCCACAACAATAGACACCCTTTGCAACAATATATTCCCCCACAACAATAAAACCCCAACAATGATAGATCCCCCACAGCAATAGACTACTTCAGCAACAATAGATCCCTCACAATAATAGACCCACCAGTAACAATAGATCACCCCACAACAGTAGACCCTCAGCAGCAAAAACAGATTTCCCAGCAGCCAGCATCAATGGACCTCTTCTTCAACATTAGATCCCTCCCAGAAACATAAGATCCCCCTTCCCCAGAAACAATAGACCCCCCCACATAAAAATAGATCGCCCCCTAGCAACACTACACCCAGCATCAATAGACCCTCCAGCACACCCCAGCACTCCTTGCCATTGCATACATTCAGTGCTGCAAGTGCTGGAACTGTGTTACCCTGCATTCCCGCTGAAAAAAGCCCTGCCTCCACCAATCAGAGTGGATCCTGATAATGCGATCCCCATGTGAGCATTGACATAGTAATCACATCCAAGCTGGAGGCTCCATTGACAGCAATGAAAGCCTTTAGCCTGCCACCTTCTGGGTGCACCACCCGTCTGACCTGCCATAGATTTAATAATGCAACTGTTGTATACAATTGCATTATTTAAAAAATAATAATAAATAGAGTGGATGCAAAGAGGCTGCAGGAGATCGACAAAGGATAAAAAAAGTGAAAACAAGTATTTTTATTAATAATAAATAACACTTGTTTGTAATACACAGTGTTTTTAAAAAAAAATGAATGTCATTAATTTAGTTTTGATGTCTATTTAATTCTTTTTTTATTTTTATTTATTTTATTTTATTTTTTTTAAATAAAGCAATTTTTTTTTCTATTTTATAATATCTATCCAGATGAATAAGTTCATTAAACCTATAACAGTCCAAAAGCAGATTTCAGATTTTTCTTATGTTTACTTTTTTTTTTGTAATTTTGTTTATTTTCACTTTCATTCCTTTGAATGGTGTAAAAATGGTGCCCATATGTTTCAAAGTAAAGGTAAAGGCCCTCAGGGCAACCCGGCACAGCGCTGTGTTTTCACGATCCGTGCCGGTGATTGACACCGCCGCTACTTCAAACTGACACACACTACAGCTTAAATAAGCTGATGGTTAGACGTGCTAAAATCCACTCCGGGACGGATAAATACTCCGGTACAGTTGTTGTTTGCGATCTAAATATTTACACGTTATCTCATGAGATAATATAAGATGTAAATCTTGGCCTCCCGTGAAATCCTCCAGAAATATTGTCGGGGATCAAAACTCAGCAAGCCGAACATTAAAACGAAGTGGAGCGACTAAAGGGAGATTTGAATTTCTTTGCCACATCAGTGAGCGCAATTTTTTATTTTAATTCAAATCTCATTTACTAGATTATATATATATATATATATTATTATTATTATCATACAGGATTTATATAGCGCCAACAGTTTGCTCAGAGCTTTACAATACAGCAACAATACAGTTCAATACAAGAGGGATTTGAAGGCCCTTCTCCTTGGAGGTTACAATCTAGGAGTATATATATATATATATATATATATATATATATATATATATAAAAAAAAAAATATATATATATATATATATATATATATATATATATAAAATATATATATATATATTTTTTTTATTTTTATTTTATTTAATTTAATGTTTTTTTTTAATCTATTTCCAGTCCAGGCCAATTCTGACATTTCTCTCCTACATGTAAAAATCATTGGCTTTTTTTTTGCTAGAAAATTACTCGGAAACCACAAACATTATACATATATTTATCTAAGCAGAGAAAATAAAATGGTGGGTGTTGCATTTTTTATGCCAATTTTTTATGCCACGCGGTATTTGCGCAATTTTTTGGGAAAAAATACACTTTATTCAATTTTAAAGCAGAAAAAAAAAAAAACACGATATATACCCCATTTTTTGTAAAATATAAAAGGTGATGTTATTGCGAGTAAATAGATACCTAATAGGTCACAGTTTAAAATTACGCATGCACGCACGTGGAATGGCCACAAATTCTGATACCTAAAAATCTCCGTAGTCGACCCTTTAAAATTTTTACAGGTTACCAGTTTAGCATTACAGAGGAGGTCTAGTGCTCGAATTATTGTTCTCGCTGTAACGTTTGTGGCGATACCTCACATGTGTGGTGCGATCACCATTTACATATGTGTGCATCAGGGGCGGACTGACAACTCATGGGGCCCCCGGGCAATAGGGGATCATGGGGCCCCTGTGTCCTTGCCCAAACTCAAAAAAGCCTATGAAAAAGGTACCAGGAGCATCTCATGGGGCTCCCTACTGACACCGGGCCCTCGGGCAGTGCCCAAGTTTCCAATCAGGCCTTCTCTTTGTCCATATGAGGAATACCCCGGGATAAGAATGATGGAGGAATGGCTTTCCTATCTAACAGTATATGCCTGAATATACCATAAGAGGGTAATGGTATTTAGCATCTACTTTGGCTGGGAGTATATAGGATATTGGTACCTAGTATCACTATTCACCTGAGATTGGAGTGATCACGAGTTCTCACGTTTATTTTGATTTATTGATTTTTCACTATTTTTTGGTGTGAT